AGGGAGTTCCCTTGACTAGATGATGGAAAAGGAAAAGCCTGAGCTTGGTTGTGGATGAAAGAGGCTGCTACTTCACTGCAGACCTACTCAGGGTGAGAGTGATCCTCCTCCTTTTATTATTAATTATTATTATTATTATTATTTGCTATATAGCCATTAAATTAATTAATTAGCTAATTAATTAATTGTGTTGTCTTGTGGCAGTTACTCACAAATTTCATTCGAGCGCAAGTTTGTCTCAGCAAAGGAATAAAATACTGAAGGATTTTGACTTTAGTTTTGAGCCTGTTTTCTCTTGACCAGTATAGACAGTAACCCTCCTAACGGGCAGAGTTCAGGCCAGGGGTACAGGCTATCCATTTTGTGTGGAAGAGAATTGGCTCAAGAAAAGGCTCTATATGGATATGGTGGAGGCTAACGGCTGAGCTGGCGGGTGAGGGGTCTGGAAGGAATAAGCTTGAAAGATTGGAGACAAGAAAGTTTAAGGTAGAGACCTAAGGGAATGACCACAAATTGTGAGGATTTTTATACCATATGTTAATAAACTGCAACAAGCATTCAATACAGCTTGGGAGAAGAGTGAGGAATAAGGGCATCGGTATCAGAGAGACCTACATTCAAATCCTTGAATCTGTCATTCACAGCCTATGAGACTGTGGGCAGATTGCTTAACCTTCCTAAGTCTCATCATCCCTGTGCTGGCTGAAAAATTACTGCTTGGCTATCGCCCATGAGAACATAACATTCTAACAATAAGCTTTCTGCTTCTGTATCCCCGCTTGCACAACCTACCTGTGGATTGACAGTTAGTAAATAGAAGAAAAATAGACTTTTGTGTTAAGACAGAATGAGGAATGGGATTTAGGGCTTAAAAACCCTGTACCTCTACATTTCGGGGCTGCTTAATTTGGGGTCTGCGTACCCCTGGCAGACCCAGCTGGCTGAATAAAGAGCGTGCTTCCTATAACTCACCGGTTTCTGGTGGTCCGTGTGTCTATTGGGGGCTGGCGGCTACAACATCCTCATCCAGCAAAAGGATGTTCTGAAAATTAGTCGATGTACACAAAGGGCTTATATGATAGCTGGCACATTGTGTGCTCAATAAATGGCAGATAGTTGTTATTGTTATTTCATTCAATACATTCAACAATCCTAAGAGATAAGGACTAAAGGTTAAGTGTATCAGATAAGAAACTGAAGTCCAGGGAAATTAAGTGACTTAACCAGTTTATCAAGTGTCAGAAATGGGATGCAAATGAAGATTTGTTTGGCGTCCAAGTCTATGTATGGCTTTACACTCTGCCTCAGAGTAAATGCACTAGAAGTGAGATACATGACCAGGGCTTCCTACAGGATAAATTCTCTCTTCCCTACAGCAAATCTGAAAGGTGTGAAGAAAAGGAGATCTTTAAATTTGACAAGCTTAGTGACCGAAAGTAATCTCACAGAGTGATCTGATCACAGATTCCTAACTGGACAGGTCATAATGGGTAGTTATGCCTCAGGCCTATAACTTCTCTAGAAAAGGGTTTATCTTTGTCTTAAGCTCTGTCCATCATTCTTGTGTCAGTAGATTAACACACCTTTGAAATGTCAGAATAATCTTCTTTTTTTCAGATCCCTAGGAGTCATGACCCCTAGGAGCCATAAACACCTGTAAGGGAGCACGTAATTAATTCAAAATGTATAAAAGGAACTGTAGATCTCTTATTCTCTGGAGCATGAGATTTTGCCTCCAGCATGTTGTCAGTTTTGCTCAGATAAACTTACAAAAAATCTCTACAGGTTTGAACATTCTTATGTGGACACAGGAAAGATTATTCTCCCCATTTTATAGATGAAGGAACTTGAGTATCTGAGTGATTACATGACCTGGCTAAGGTCATAATAACTAATAAATGGAAGAAGGTGGGATTTGAGTTACTTTCTCTGTACTACTTAAACAAATACTCTTTTACTAGGGGCAGGATTGGTAACAGGATTTCTTTTAGGGAAATTCTATGGGGTTATTCTAAGAAAACTATTATTCCATTGTCAGTGCAAGAACATCCAAACTTGTAGAGAATTTTAATCAGTTTTTCTGAGCCAAAACTGATGACAGTTGCTGGGAAGCAAGACCTCAATTGCTAGGAAGAAGACAGTTTGTAGTTTATTTTATGCTTCTGAAATTAAGAAGGGAACGTAAGGAAGAGTACAAAAAATTGGGAGAAAGCAAGGTGGAGATTGGATTTCAAAATCGATAAAGAGATTATATGTTCTCTTAAGGGCAGTTATGCTTATTTCAAAGGTGTGCTAACCTAGATACACAAGAAAAATGGACAGGGCTGGCTTAAGGCAAAGATAACCTCTTACTAAAAAAGTTATATGCCTGGGGCATGACTACTCACCTTGACCTGCCCAGTTATGAATATATGATCATAACTGTGAGTTTACTTTCTGTAGAACCCCTTTTCATCCACACCATCAGGGCTTGGGAGTTGAGAATGGTTTTAGCCTCCTTCTTAGTGCAGAGGACCTTTTTTACCAGGAGTCAGTAAGTTATTAATAGGGTTACAGCCTGACATTGGACAAAAGTGCCTTCTGTACAATTTGAACTTTTTGCTTCCTTGGTATTTACCTAACTTATAAAGTTTATGATTAGAGATGCCCATGACACAACTGTATGATAAATTCGTGTATTTTAAGCAATGGGTTGAGCACACACTTGTGCACTGATGGAGTCTACTTTTTGGAGGAGGGTTCTCCTGGATGACTTTAGCATAAATTGCAGTAAGATGTTTTAGGCCCCTGTTTTGTCATACCCTCAGTGGAACCTAGCCAGGGTGCTTTAATGCCATACTCCTTGGATTTGTCCTGTAGTCTTTTCCTTTGTACCCTCCTCTGTGATAGTGTGCTGTAATATGAAACATATATATTTGGTCTTTGTCTCCATTCCTAGCACAGAGCTTCTAAAATCTTTATATTGTGTTGAGTGATAGGGGGATAGGAGGATCTTTTGTTATTCATAGAGAGCTCCTTTCAATTTGAGCTTTGATGGCGGAGGCTGCTGCCTGAGGAACCAACCCTGTGATTTGGCAGGCTGGAACTTATAACTCCACCCTTTAACCTGGAGGTTGAGTTAATCATTAACAGCCAATGATTCATCAATCTTGCCTATATAATTAAATTCCCATAAAACCCCTAAACAATAGATTTTGAGAACTTCTGGGTTGGTGATCACATCTAGGTGCTGGGAGGGTGGCACGTTTGGAGAGGGCATGGAAGCCCCTTCCGCCTGCCCATACCTTGCTCTATTCATCTCTTCCATTTGTTCATTCCTCAATTGTATCCTTTATAACACCACTAAGTGTAAATAAAGTGTTTTCCTGAGTTCAGTGAGTTGTTCTAGCAGATTAGAACCGGAGCAGGGCATTGTGGGAACACCCTATTTATAGACAGTTGGTCAGAAATAGTGGTGGCCCAGACGTTCTATTGACGTTTGAAGTTGGGGCCAGTCTTGTGGGACTGAGCCCTTAACCTGCAGGGTCTGCATTATTGGAGTAGTTAGTGGCAGGATTGAATTACATTGTAGGACACCCAGTTGGTGTCTGTAGAGAACCGGAGAATTCCTTGGTATGGAAAATCCACATGTGGTGGGCGTCGATGTATTTTGGGTAAAAAAGAACTAATACCCTGGACTCCACAGTTTTGATCCTTTCCTTCCCATCCCATCCCTTCACTCCCAAAAAAGGCCAAAGGCTAAAAGGTGATATAAGGAAGAAACCAGGATGATTCATTCAAGACGGTTAACTTTTATTCAACATCTGCTCTATTCAAATATGTAGAGTTCTCTTTCTCAGCTGGCTTGGAAGGTACAGAGATGCAGCAATAAACTATTACGCAGTCCCTGATTTAAAAACCATCTCCAGTGCCTTCAGGGTTCTTCCCCTTAAAAACTTGTACGGACTTGGTGTGTGTGTGCGTGGGAAGGTGATTTAGAAACCTTTTATTCTAAGGATAAAAAATGTAACCTAAGGTCACTGAGGCTTTCTAAAGTCACAGAGGCTTTTGTATTGGCATTTTCTTTTGTTATAGATTATCTTCATTTTTCTAACGCAGTTTTAGCACATCTTAAACATTTCAATATTTTTGAACGAAATTGGTGAGATGAGCTGACTTACAAGTGGAGCACAGAAACTTGATTCACAGAGAATTTGAGGGTACAGTTTAGCTATATTGAAGCTATGCATTTCGAACATAGATATTATTACACATCACAAACGATTATGTGTGAGGACAAAAAACTTGTACTTAAAAAAAATTCACCTCCCTCCCCTTCTCTTACTGAATAGACGAATACATAAACATACGTGAATGACTGGCTCTGAGTGTGGCTGTTTTATTACTTTTAAGATTTGAATTCAGTAATCTTTGCTGAAGATCAGCAGGAGGAAGGATTTGTGTAGGAAACGAAAAGAGGTTTAACTCCAGTCCCTACCGTTTCGGGACTTTAAAGTGTAGTAGGTTAGGGACAGACACGCCACAGGAGGAAGTAATGAAACCTTTTACTAGAGGCATGATGAAAGGGCTGTGGGGGTTCAGAGGAGGTTGAGTTTCCCCAGGACTGGGGAAATACTGCGCGCGCTAGGAAGAGCTTGGCGCAGTGCATGTAGAATCTGGATTCTAGAACAGGTTCTCCCTCTGATTTGTCCCTTGACTTTGCACTAGTAAATTAGGTTTGTAAATTAAACTCCCCAGATTTGCTTTCCACTCTGAAACTCTAGGAGTTGGATGGGCTATCAGTTCTCTGGGACAATGCCCTCGGTGAGATTTATTTCTGTCGTTTCTCGCCCTTACAGACCTCACTCTCTCCGTGCAGGCAATGAGTGCGGCCCCTTTAAAGGAACCCTCGACGGTGGGAGCCCCCGGTGCCCCGCGCTAGGAGGCAGGGGCGGGGCGCCCGGGACCCGGGCTTCTCACGCCGCTGGGGACGCCGTCGCGTCACGGAGCTCGCAGCCAATCAGTATAAAGCCTGTCGGGACGCATTACTAGGGCGACCGGCCGGACACCTCCCCGCTTCGGGATGAAATAGCGGCGGGTTCTAACCGGAGGTTGTGACCCCACGGATTCCCCGGCTCGCGCACGCGCTCCCCACGGTGTCGCGCGTGATCCCCTGCTGGCCACAGGTGGGAGACTGGAACTGTCAGGTTCGGGTATGGCGCTGGGAAAATGGCGGCGGCGGCCAGGGTATCCCCGAGTTGGTGGAGGGGGAGCGGCCTTATGGGCTCTTCCCCCTGACCCACCGGCCTCTCGGGCGGTGGCCGGGGTAACGGTCACTTGACCTGGAATTGGGGGCCCGACGTAGGTGGCGGCGTCGCCGGCTCAGGTAAGAGGAGGTGCGGGGAAGCAGGCAACGGCGTCAGGGGCTTCGCCGGCCGGGTCCGCGAGGTGGCCGCGGGATGTGGAGAGCCAGGTGTCCTGTCGCTATTGACACATGAGCGTTAATAGGTTCCTGCTTCAGACCTGGACGGGTCTGGGAGCTGCACCGCCCCGAACGCAGTCCGAGCTCTGCAGCTGTTAAATCAGATGTGCAAAACGTCCCAAGTGGCCGCCACGTGAGAGTCTTGGACGTGAGTTGTCTAGGGCGGGGGCTGTAGCTGCCTTATCTGTGTATCTTCCAGGCGCCAGACACCTGCTTGCTTGTGGGTTCCAGGAAAGGAAAGGCAGGCCTTACTCAGGGGCTGGTGTCACGTCTGATCATTAAGGTGTATCTTAACTTCTGCTTCCCCATTCGAAGAGAAGAAAAAGGAAGATAGGGCACCGAGGTGTTTTGGAGAAGTTTTGCTTCCTTGTGCTTAACCTGGTTCAGGTGGGTTCCCCAGGAGCATTGAATCTTCCTTCGAAGCTCATTTATTGTATTCCATGTGAACGTGTCTGTAATTAAGACTGAAGATTGTAATTTAGTTTAGCCCAGGAAAGTTTGGAAAATAGGTATTGGTAAAGGTCTTACAGAGTTGAAATACTGTCTATTCGTGTTAGCGGCTTCTTTGGGCAAAGGCATGTCATGAAATGTAACTAGTTAGTTTAGTTTTCAGAAAACTTAATGAAAATTCTTTTTTGCAAAACATTTTTAAAAGTAAAAGAAATAAATTTTTTTACTTAAAAAAAAATTTCTATGGCCACTTTGTACTTTGATGTGACAGATAAGCATATCATTAAGAGGCTTTTCTTTTTGGTAGCAGGCTTGATTTTGCGGAGTGCCTTGTTCTCCGCAAAATCAAGGCACAGTGGCACTGTGTTCAGTGATCGGTCGCTACTGTCTTTGGAGAGCCGGTTATGGGTCAGGCACTATGAAAGTGAGGCGTCTCTCTCTACCTTTTAACTTGAGCAGATGGAGTAGTTCATCTGTTGCCACCAGGCTTTTAGGCTGGCTGTTGCTGACAACCAAGAAGAGACAATGGGGACAACCCAAAAGAAGCTTCCAAACTGGATCCATAGAGATTTGCTCAGTTTGGCCTGGGGCTTAAGTATGGTTTTTAGTTCCAACTCTGTCACTTAAAATATCTTAGGGAAGTCATACAACCTCTCTGTTAGTACCTTACCTCTGAAATGGGCATAGCATTTTTGTCCAAACTCATTGTACTGTTGTGAGAATGCATAAAAGGGCTTTAAAACGTCAAAAACACATGATAACAGCTGACATTTACTCTGACATTTACTCACTATACATTTACCCTGCCAGGCTAACTCAGTCACCCAGAAACATTGTAAAGTGACCACTTTTATCATGTTTGTTTTACAGACTGACATTTGTTATATGCCTCAAGTTGAACAACTAACATTGTGATTCCAACTTATGTTCTTAACCACCATGCATACTGTCTTCCTGTATCCTGCAGATGTGTTACGTGTTAGATAAATATGAACAGATTTTTCAGTGAAGTAATTTTGTTTATGATCTTTTAGTTGTATAAATAATAACTGATTCATTCCATTGGCATCCAGTAATGATTTATATGGCAATTACTATTTGGTGATTACTATATGGTGATATTATATGGTGATTAGTTAAGTGATATATTCATGCTACCTTTGACTGTTACTTTAAACAATATTTTAAAACAAAGAGTTGTGACTAATTTCTAACAGGAAGCACAAATTAATAATTAAGGGGGATTTTAGCAAATAAATGATGAACTGATGCAGTGTGATAAGGACTCAGATATAGTCGCACTGGGTACAGAGAGCTAATTCTGCTGGGGTGGCCGTGGCCAAGAAAAGAAGGGAGCTGACTATGGGATAAAGAGAGAAATGGCTTCTAGCCAAAGGAGGAGGCATTGAGAGTGCACGGATGTCCAGGGATCAGACCAGAGTATTGCTGGAGTTGCTGGGAGAGAAGCTAGGAAAGGTTAGGAAGGGCCAGACTGAATTCCCAGCTAAGAGAGTGACTTTATCTCATGGGCAGTGGGACCTATAGAAGAATCTTAATCGGATGAATAGCATGATCAACTTTATGTTCTAGAGCAGTGAGTTTGGTGACAGAGTGAAAGACAGTGTAAGGAGAGACTAGTTAAGGACAGTTTCCATACTCCAGATGAGATGGTGAGGGAGTGAACCAAGGTGTTGGCTGTGGCAGAGTAGAATCCACCACTACATTTTGAAGGCAGAATGAAAGATTGGGTGTGGGGGAGGAGACCACTTGGAGAGGGCGGACAGAGAAAAGTAAACTGTTTTGTTTTATGTTTGTTTTGTTTTGTTAACTGTATGGTTAGAGATTGGAGATATTGTTAACTCATTTAAGCAAAAAGAGCAGGCAGTTCTTTGTTCTTGGGTTTTAAAAAATTGTAAACCCTCTGAGGTTGTTGGGACAAATGTAACAAAATCAAGCTTATAATCTAGGCCTCTGATTTCTGAGACTATAGAAAACTTATATCATCAAAAGTCAGCAGAGTCTAGTGCAAATGTAGCTTCATTGGAGGAAAGTCACACAAAGGGAGTGGGGCAAATTAAGATATGTTTGGGATAAACTGCTAGCATAATGGATATTAGAGGGTTTTTTTCCTTTTTAATTTTTTTTATTTTCCATTTAGAGTTGACATTTAACAGTATTCCTTTTTTTACATGAATTTTTAAATATATTTGTACAGAAGCCATTACAGTATGGAAGTAACCACAAATGAATTCTCTAGTTGTAAAACTGATCTTCGCTTAAACATTCATAACATTAGAGTTGTATGGCTTCCAACAGCATAACATGAACACATTCCAAATCAATTGGAAGGCGAAATTGCAAACCTTGCAAAGTTGCAGGGTTTCATGAATCCAGAACAGGGTCGAGAACTGCACCAAACATAAGCACTATATGATTCCATTTAAATGAAGTTCAAAAACATGTACAACTGTTTCTTGGTGATGGAAGTGGGAACAGTGGTGGTGTTAATCTCTGGGAAGGGGTGCGAGGAAAGCTGAGATGCTGGAAATGTTCTGTGCCTTGAGATGAGTGGCGGTTTCAGGGGTGTAAGTATATGTAAGAATTCTAGTTGCACACCTCAGATTTGTGCATGTTACTGTCATATTTTTATTTAAAAAGAGGCACTAGCGAGAACTTGGCAATGTTAGACCAATTAACTTTTGATGAGGAAAACCAGCAGGGTTGATGAGAGGTGCTTTAAAAGAATTTTAAAAGGGTATGAGGGGAATAAATGATGAAATATATATGTATGTATGTGTATATATATATATATTTTTTTCCCCCCAAAATGACTTTTATATAATTGTCTTGGTAAGGCAAATGAGAAATCGAGGCTGTCACATCATGTTCTTTTACAGTTTGATCACAAAATTATGTCTCAAACTCTACCAATTGATTACTTTCTTGTCTTAAGAATTAGTGCGTAGTTGCAAGTGTAACGTAACTTTTGGTAAATATAAGATACATTGTGAAAATAAAATGATTTATATTTTGTTTAATTTCGGGGGGGAAAACTAATCAAATTTCTTTAATCGTTATGAAATGTGGTCCCTGTTTGAGAAATCACCTTGTGGCCTTTCTCCCTACTATGCTAATTGCTCTTGGATAATGAGGACTAGCTGTTAATTCTTCTGGCTGCAAAATTTCCAATGTCATAATGGGGCTAAGAAAAGCCTCTGGTGAGTTCCTGGTAGCAGTGAGATAAAAGCTCAAAAGAGGCCTTTGTGAGCTTCAGTCCAATTTGACAGAGTGTGTTCATTGCACCTCTACCTAGTCTTCTCCATCTGACTAGGGCTCCGGGGATCCTCCTGTGACAACCCAGAAGAGGCAGATGGAAGGGACACCTGAGGGGCAGCCATCAGTGAAAGCTGTCTGGAGATGATTAACCACTTTATTGGCCGTCTTTCACAGTCGAGGTTTCTGAAAACATAAATTATTCACTTCCTCATGGGAAATAGATTACTGTTCTACAGACGGTAAAGGGAAGTCTTTTGCCACCCTTAGTTTTCTATCTCATACAGAGATCACCTCCAGTGTATGTTTGTAAGTGAATAGATAATCTCCTTGGAAGAGCTCATAGAGCAGGGAGATGGCATGTTGGTGAGCTGGTGTCACAAGCAAATGATGAATAGAAGATAGGAATAAGAGAATGATGAGGGAAGAGAAGTGACTGATGGCAGCCATACTTATGGCTCTGTGTGGCTAGAGGGCAGAGTGAAAGGATTGTTCTTAACCCTGACAGCTACTCTTCCCTGACTGGAATATTTGCGTATTTTGGAAAGGCAGCTTTTTCTTGGCTCTTACTTTTTCCGCTAGCCTGTTGTAATACAAATACTTTCTTAGAATTATTTTTTTTCTTTATATTGTGTAGTCTTTAAATAAAATCTTGCTCGTATGGCATTAGGGAGGAAAATGATGGTAAAAAGGAGTGGCTTGAACATCAAAATGTTTACTTACTTACTTAACATTTTAGACACCTACCGTGAACTTGGTAATGGGGACAGAGTTAAATAAGACATGGTTCCCAGCCTTGTGCTTACTGTCTAGAGGGGCGGGGTAGGGGGGAGATAAACAGATCAATGCCTTCAGTACAGAGATCATTGAGATTTCGTCACCTCTTATCATGTCTGGGTTTTCTATGATGAACGGTAAGCAGGGCAGTGGTGAAAACTATTATGAGTTCCATAGGGAGTAATGGTTAATAATAATAACAATAATAATAAGACAGCCAACATTTATTGAGTGCTTACTAGATACTGGGTTCATTTCTAAGTACTTTAAGTTTTTAACCGCTTTAACCCTCACAGCTTTCCCTATGAGGTGAATACTATTGTAATCTTCATTTTACCTCTGAGGAATCTGAGACCCAGAGAGGGTAAATAACATGGATTAGAACCTAGGTAGTCTAGTTCTAGAGTCTGTGCTATAATGCCTGTTTTAAGTCACTTTAAATTTAAGATATAGCGCACTTATGTGGTTTTAAATGTAAGAGATTGATTATGAGACTGTGCCTTGCATTATAAGTTATGTCCAAAATTTTTGAATATGCGTGCTGAATGTAATTTCCTGTTGCTGCTTAGGGTGATTCCCTCTGTTGGAGTTTTAAATGAGACATCCCTTTTGCCCTTTTCACTTTTCACCGTGCTACACGCTTGTTTTGGCACTGTTATATTACTCCTGCGTGTTCTATTATAGCATTCCGAAATGCATTGAAAATATTGGGTTTTTATTGTATGTCTTATCAACATACATATTGATATTTTATGATGTATTGAAACTGGAGAATTTGTGAATTGCTGGAATAACATAGTTGTGAATGTGAATAACTACAGATTTAAAGTTAAGTTGAATTTTTAGCATGTCTGTTCATTAGGACAAATTGATTAAAAGAAGAATTA